CCGCCAGCAGCCCTCGCTGCAGCACCCCCAAAAGTTCAGACAGGTGGTTAGCGAGGAGCGGGACCTTCCTAAAATCAGAGGCAAGTTTCTCACTAAATACCGGGGGCTTTCACGGAGGCCGTTGCAGCGAGGGAAAGCTGCCGCTGCCCGTGACGCAGAGCAGTGACACCCTGCTTGCTGCCAGGCCCACGGACCGGCCCCTTCCAACGAAGGAGGGACCGTAATGATTCCCCACAGCAGCCTAGCTCACAGGGCAAGGCTGTTCTCAGGAATTATTAACTCAGTTTTATTAACTGGTGCTTTATGAGGCTTAACTTCCTTCACATCTTCCCAACTGCAGCAGGCTGAAAGCAGCTGTCCTAAACTCTGGGCAGCACCTCCAGCTCCAGGCTGGGCCCTGGAAGGCAGAGAGCAGGCTGATGCGCGTGGAAGAGCCGGGTCTCTGCTCTGCCTCCACCCAAGGAAACGTACCACGCTGAAAATTTGGACTCTCCAAATGCCTCCTGAGCTCTTCGGTTCATCATCTCCCATCTAATTTTCCTTTCAGCAAAAGGACTTATCTTTCAGAATAAATACAGATAAGCAGAAACCAGCCCCAACTGAAGACAAATCATCCTCCCTGTTGCCCCTCCAGAGCGTGACTTCTGGCAAGGAAAGAGAAGGGGAAGTTTCTTACCGTAATGTAAAAGGTGGTGACCACGTTTAGGGAAGAAGCAAATATGGAGCTCATGATTTTAACAGACGGCTCATCCAAGCTATCATAGGTAGGCAAGACCTGACTGTAGAAAAGGGTAAATTATTTAAGGAAACCTTCTGCAGAGAGAGAAAAACCCAACTCAAACACGTTCCCTGCCTCAGCCCAGCAGCAAAGAATCCCTGACACCTTCCCCCTATGGAGCATAAACACTCGCTGCTATTCCACAATTTATATTGCTAATGCCAAGAGATTTCGGAACACTCATAACTTTAAGTGTTGCAAAAATATTCCTGCTCTCCCCACCCCACCACGTGGAGCTAAACGTGTGATGTAAACATTTTGGTTCAAAAGTGTTGCAAAATGAATGACCGTTTGTTCCAGTGAAACACCAGTGGCACCAGGCCAGGCAGCGCATCGGAGATTATTGTTCTTGGAGCTCTCTGTGCTGATAATTAAAGCAACGCAGTGTTTACAGAGTAAAAGCAGGAAGAAGGTTAGAGCATCACACTGTCTAAAAGAAAAGTTAAACAAACAAAACTAAATGCAGCGTCTGTCATATTTCAGCGCTGCTGCTAGAGCTCAGTTCATAGAAAGCCGGGAGCACCAATTACACGGGATTTGGGGTATTTACAGACTTGGAAAGCATGTGGAATGTACTTTTTGACATCAGGTGCATATTTTAGCAACTCATTAACCTCTTGTTACTTTAATTCAAGTGGCTACATCCTGGCTTCATGTTACTGAAGGAACTCTCACGAGAAGGGGGGGGAGCATCCAGTTAGATGGGAAGGGGGTATCCCCAGCTCCAGCGGGCACAAAGCCATTAACAGAAAGTGTGTCAAGCTGAGGCCAAGCAGAAAAATCCTTAACCCTTAATCCCTTAATGTCAAACGGTTCTGCACAAAGGAAGCTGAGCACATCGGCTCACAAGAACTCGCGAGACCTGCGCAGGGTCTGCGAATGCAGCACCGCGACAGCCGTTTAGAGCGGGGAGACCAGTTTCCCCAGGAGTCCCTCCATCTCGGATTCCTCCCGCAGCCGCCTCCTCGCGATTAATCGGCTGCATCCCTGACTTCAGCCCCAGGAGGGGAAGGAGGCCAGCCAAACATCCAGGCCCAGGAAGGAGAAGAAAGGAGGGAAGCAGAGAGGCTTTGCAGTGCCTGGGATGGCACAGCCGGGCCAGGTTCGTGTTCGAGCGGGAGCAGCAGGAGCGACATGGGGAAAAGTGTCACGCGAAGCCCAGCTGCACCCAAGCCTCCTGCCATCGCTTAATGGCACCTGTTTGGGCAACTTGGGTTTGGAGGACCAGCAAAGCGTCCCTCCAGCCCCGCCGACACGGCGCTGAGCCCTCCTGACCATCACCACCTCTCAAGGCAGAGCAAAAGGACAAAAAGCACGCAGCACGTCCTGACGCGCCCGGGGATTATTTTTAAGCGAAATGACTGCAAGCGAAGGATCAGGGACCCCTCCCCGCGTTGTCTGTTATGCTGCACCTCAAAGAGGGCGCGAGCAGATGGTTCCTCCTGAGCAGAGAGCAGGCAAGTCAGCACAAGCATTAAGAGCAGCCTCGGAGAAAGCAGCCCTGCTTCGGAGATGGCCAGAGCTACCGCAGAGTATCTGTTCTTCACCCCCACTGCAGGGACCACCTCGGGCGGGCGCTCTGAGCACAGCATTAACTCAGCCTGCCAGGAACTGATGCTCACAGAGGCAACGAACACCACCCTGACTTCTCTTATCCCTGTGAATTTGGCATTTTTGCATTCATCTGCACCAGAATAGCCCATCTCCAGAAATTAGAAGTTTTCTCCTGGAAAGCTCTACTGAATCCTCTTTAATGAGAGGGTTCAGTGACTTGACCAAGGTCACGCAAGGAGGATGCAGCGGAGGTAACCCCGGAGTGCTCGCGCTCCCCGCTCTCAGCTCCACAGCAAATTTCCACACTACATAACTGTAGAGGAGTGACCTACTTTGCAACTTCAGCAACAACAGGATAGCTTTTAAAGAGAGAACGGTATTGAACTCACAAGTAAAGCAGGGTCAAGTTTTTCAGGCTAGAATAATAGTGCATTTATTTGTCCTTACTGTATGCTGCATTAAGGAAAAGGATTTCTGCTTTATGTTCGAATTATTTATTTTTTAAAAAGGTGATTCAGAGGTTAGCAAAATTAAACCTACCTAGCTGAGAATAACACGCTTATAAGACTGCCTGGGCTGGGGACAGCGTATTGCCCTGATGCTTGGAAAAAACACATAGCTTTACGTTTGGCTTGCCACGTAAGCGCTGTAATGGAGCCTATATTTAGGTACATGCACACTGGTCCAGACCAAACGATTTCCCTTCATTTCCAACTCCCAGCAAAATTGTGCTGGGTACTGTGTGGCTACCATAAGGGGGGAAAAAAAAAAAAAAAGGAATTTAAAAACTCTAAAATGTTAACAAGGTAAAGCTGTAAAAGAATACAATTCCCTTCGCCAGTTGTAATGGAGACATTAAACAGCAAGACTGGAGCGTGTTCGGGTAGGAACCAAGCTGCCAAGAGAGCCGATAAGTGGAAAATGATGATTTGGATCTTGCGTGTGGGTGTAAACACAGCAGTCTGAACAAATTTTATCTGTCACATTCATTTACTGTTGGCATGCTACCCGTTTGCTAGAACTACAGGGGGGAAAGCCCAACTCTGCCAGCCTTCCAAACGAGGATGGTCTTTTCCATGTCCACATTTGGATTTACGCTTCTATTTAAAGTCTGTTACTATTCTGGCCAGGCACGTATTGCTCACTTGCCATTTTGGTGCAGAAGGTAATGCTGCTAGAAATGTGCGAATAGCCCGGTCTGCCGTCACGTCCTTCCACGTGCCAATGGAAACCCTCATTAAAAGCAGGTAACTGGAAACGTGCGAACAACTCTCCAAAGTCAACGACTGTGCGATCTTCCGAGGGTTCTCAAAGAAATTCGGGGAAGCGGAGAAGCTGCCAGTGTACACTACCCTGCGGGGGCCCTGCGGCCATTCGGCGACTCAGCCCCGCCGCCTTCCCTGGTACTAAATCATTCCCTCCAAGAAACGGGGGAAATTCATCACTTAATGCAGCTGTACCAGAAGCAACGTGCATTATTACGCTGAGGATCTGTTTGGCCCAAATGATCTTGTGTTGCTCAAGCACAATAACTCCCCAGTGAAATATAACTCCCTCCCCCATCTAGGTAACAAAAGGGTCACAACCGACTGAGATGCTGTACTTCAGCGGGCTGTAAAATACTTTGATTAAAATAAAATAGGAAACCAGATGGTATCTATCCCTTGCAGATCCTCATGACCCTCTGCCCTCAGAAAAATACTCATTGCACACCACAACTGCCAGAAGCGGGAATGGCAGGTACTTACGACTGACAGGCAAAAGACATGCCAAAGATGGGGATGCAGCGAAAAATGCCCTCCCAACGAGTGTAACTAACTCGCTGCAGCCACTGCCCGCTGAAGAGGCCATGCTTGAAGGACGACAGCACAATCTGTAGCCAAGAGAAAGAGAAGGGGTTAAGATCTAACCCGAAACAACTTCATGGCGGCAGTAATGCCGGTGCTGGGATAAAAGGCAGCGTGCAGCAGCTCTGCGAGGAACAGCTTACGCTGCCTACCGCAGCCAGATCTCTGTTAGTCAGGTTCCCCAGCTCCCCTCCCCACCCGCACACGTTATTAAAGCTCCCAGCAACCTCCAAGGGTCCCTTGCCACCAAGGATCCCGGGGTGTATTTTAAAAGATCTATGACATTCCCCCCCTTGTTTGATGCCATCAGACATCACAGCACGCACCAGGGTGGAACAATTTCCACTGACACACATTTAACTGGGAGAATTATCGTTCCCGGCAATTTCTTTTGCACTTTTTTTTAAACATGTTTTTAAATCCAAAGGGGAAGCGACATTTGCCTTGGAGAATCCCGTTCAATGGAGAGAGACAAAGGTCCCTAACACAGGACCCCACCTGCACACTGCTACTCCAGAGCCGTTTAACAACGCCAGTTCCCCGAAGAGAAGGATAAACTTCACGAAAACCGGGGAAGCGAGGCACCCAGACGGGGCCAGGGGAGCTCTTTTGCCATTGACAGGGAAACTGGCAGGCATTGGGTTGCACAGGAAACAGAAGGTAAATATGTCTGAATGCCTGTTTATAATATCGCCTGAATGGGGGTTTTCTAATCCCCAGAGATTACGTTTTAGTGCAGCCAGCTCTCATGAAATGTTGTGGTTTTCTTAAAGGCACAGCTCCTGGAACACGGCACTTTTGTAAAACACTCATTTACCGTTTCCAGCCTCCTTACAGAGGCAAGCTCAGAAGCGTGACCCAGCACAACCTACTAAAAAAAAAAAAAAAAAAAAAAAAAGGAAAAAGTTAAGTGGAAAGAATTTCCACACCTCCATTTGTTTTCCTTTGTTTCAGCTCTTCCAGTCCTGAAGTTTGGGGGAGACAGGGCTGGGGCTCCAGAATCAAACCACACGAACATCCGTGAGGTGAAACTTGCAGTCATTAAAAAGCAAGTGCGAGTCTCCGCCTCTCAGTAAATGGTGCTCGGCCAAGCCAAACAGGGCCAGCGCTGGGTAAGTCTCAGCTCACCCTGCTTAATCAAAATGGCCAAGAATCCACTCACCTCCGTAAAAAAAAATTTTTTCTAGACATCTCTAAGGACAAGTACATGCCACGTACCAGACTTAAGACTTTACAAAGCTTTCAGTGCTCAGAAATAGGAGTGCTGGTGTCTAACAACTAAAACTACTTGTTGCCAGAAAGACATTGACCATCAGCTGCAAAAAAGCATGCAAAGTACACGTCTGAGCTCTCAACAAGAGCTGCCTTCCCCTACAGATTAGAAGCACTGAGGTTTTCAAGGCAAAACACCAACGCACAATGAAAGTCCTTCTGCTTCCAGGCACTATTCCCCACGTCTTCCATCCTTTGATTTAAAGTTCAGAGCCCTAAATTATAAGACGCCAACAAGCAGAATAAACCACGACTCGATTTGTGGTTTATTATTTGTGCCACTGCAGTCCCTAGCACGCGTAAGAGCCTACAGACCCGCTGGCCGGTTTCTACAGCCTGTACCTCCCCGTCTCAAGAGCACGAGCACCCAGATCGCTTGTTATACCCGGCACTAGCAGCACTAATTATCAGGAAGGACATTTTAAACTTGAGGCCTGCACCTGCAGGCTGTCCCAGCGGGAATATCTGTGTTAAAACAATAGGAAAACAGCATTCCCGGCCTCAATACTCACCACGAACATGAACACGGTGTAAAAGATCAGAGCCATGGCGCTGAAAGACTGTATGGAGGCCATCATGTTCCTCTGGAGGCTCAATGGAAGTACGATGCACAGGGAGACGGCAAACAGCAGGACTATCCGGAAACTGCCCGACACCTGGAAAAAGGACCTGCATAAAGAACTGGAGCACAGAGGATACTCAAAACATCCCATCAAATTAGCAAAATAACTCCCCAGCGTGGTTAATTTTTCCAGAGTGAGAAACAATGCAAACCCAGGACGGATTCCAAAGGTGAAATTCTGCTTCTGTTCGTATTTAAAGATTTGATGCTGAAAGCTTGCCATTTCTTTGGCTAGGTCTGTGATTAGCTTATACAGTCACTGGGTGCCACTGTTGCTCTACACAGCGTGTGACAGGTCCATTTTGAAGTGGAAGTATTGGGGGGGGGGGGGGGGGGGGTTAAATGCTAATCCAGCACAAGCTATTTAGGTATTTTCATGCAATTAAATAAAAACTAAACTTACTTGGGAGACAAGAGATTGAAGTCTTGAAAATTCTGATCCAGAAAATTAATCAAAACCTCGCACTGGTATTTATTATAGCAGAACACTCTGAAATGCTTGGAAATATTTAATACCTAATTTGGCTGCAGCCACAACGCATCTTTCTAACTTCACAGTCCCTTAATCGGAGCTTAGCAGCATCAGGCGGAACAGATAACAGCCCCGCCAAAAATCCTTCCACGTGTCCATTTTGCTTCCCCGCACGGCCCTCGCACCGGCTCCGAGCGCTGCTACTCACCCCCCTGGCTCCCAGCTCACCAGGAAGAGCAGCAAGAGCCTCCTGCCCACGAGGCGCAGCTCTTGCCTCCCACACGTCTGCAGCCAACACTGGGCTCATCACGCACTTTATTTTATCTTAAAGGGGAGGCAGGTGCACACCTACTTTGGCCACCAAAACAGCGAGGGACGGGACAAAAATCCCTCTTGAACAAGAGGGCTGCAAGGGGGTGAGAGCTCGGACAGAGGAACTGTCTGTCGCTACCCGTTAGGGGCAGGCAAGAAGACAGGAAGCATCATCTCCTCCGGGAATCTGCTCCAGAATTAAGAGAGACCAAGTTAAAAAGAATTCCTTTGTTGGAATTGCCTTATTGGAGGTTTTACACATCTGATTGTTCGCCACATGTCTGGGCTTCCAGCTAAACGCTCTGTGCACAAGGCGCGCTGTTAAAGCTCACCGTGAGATGACCCCACGACGCCTCGTGGGCTGCTGTCCGGGTTTCACCCGGCCGGCAGCTAAAACAACCACACAGCCCTTCGCTCGCTCCCTGCCAGTGGGACAGGGGAGAGAATTGGGGCGGGGGGAAAGTAAAGCTTGTGGGTTGAGATAAAGACAGTTTAATATGACAGAAAAGGAAGAGAATAACAGTAATAATAACATACAAAATGAGTGATGCACAGCACAATTGCTCACCACCCACAGAACACTGATGCTCAGCTAGCTCCTGAGCCGCGGTCTAAACCCTCGGCCAGCTTCCCCCCAGTTCTATACTGAGCATGACATCAATAGTATGGAACATCCTTTGCCAGTCTGGCGCAGCTGTCCTGGCCGTGTCCCCTCCCAGCTCCTTGCGCACCCCCAGGCTGCTCCCTGGCAGGGCAGGATGAGAAGCTAAAAAGTCCTTGACTCGGTGTAAACATCACCCAGCAACACCCAAATATCAGTGTGTTATCAACGGTATTCTCATCCTAAATCCAAAATAGCACTATACTCACTACTAGGAAGAAAATCAACTCCATCCGAGCCAAAACCAGGACAGCTGCTGAGCACACTACTCAGGTTTTAATCTTTGCTGTATCTCAGGCCCACACAGCTCGATGCCAGCAGAATTGGGACCACTGTCTGTGTTGTAGGTGTGATCCAGTGAAGATTTATTTACCTGAAATCCAAGCAGCCGGGCAAAGAAGTTGGACCCCAAATCACCGATGACAACGTAGAAAGCAATGCAAGTTCCCAGCATCAGCCCAATCATGCTGCAGAAACAACACCGCACACAGGTTAGGAGGTTGGAGCAGGAACCCTGGAACACAGCTCCTGCTCCTGGGCAGCTGCGTGTCAGCAGCCACGTTTCCAGCAGATCTGTACTTTGCACAGCCCTCAGGAAAGGACGAGGCTTTGTTAATGCTAAGGCTACCTTCGAGACACCACCTGGGACTGTCGTAACTGAGCCTGCGACGATGGGACACCCCCCCCCCAACACCACGTGAGCAGCGAGAACGCTGCTACAGTTCACACGCTGGGAGCAAGAGACACCCTACACACGCTGCAGCCGCTGGTTTAGCGCCAACGAGGTCTCAAGGGCTACACCCCGCACACAACCGCAGCAGCTGAAGATCGCTTAGGATCCCACCGCATCCGCCGTTTACCAAGGAACATCCAGAAGAGTTAAACAGAACCAGCCAGAAGGGCATACACATAAAGTGACTTCAGATCTTGCGCAGTCACTTGCTCACGTTCAGAGGTAGAGCAGCCTCGGCGTGCGCTGCTTCAGCACACATCCACCCTCCAACACAACCTTCTGGCCTGTGACGGCAGAGACAAGCCCCACGTTTTGCTGAACCACCACTGAAAACCACGTTTGGCAACCAGTAATAAAGTGGGTTTTCTCCCAGTCCACAGGGACAGCGGGCTGTGAGCTCGCTCAGCCGCACGAGCACCATGCCGGTGCTGAAGGGGAGGACCGTGCTTTTATCCTCGGGGTTGTGAGGGGCAGGCCACCAGTTCTGCCTTCAACCCTAGTAAAATAAAACCAGGAGAACCTCCGTCCATACCTAACATCTCGGCTAGAGACGTAGCTCTGGTAACAACACGTGCATGGGTCTAACTGCTGTTCGGAGCCACGGAATAAAAAGACCTTGGAGATGGCAAGAACTCCTTTATTTCTCGGAAAAAACGTTTAAAAGAATCAGCAAGAGATTCTCTCAGCCCCACACCCCACAGCAGGGGCCTACCATGAAAGTCTCGATACCAAATGGGCTCTCAAAGCTTCTTTCCACAAAATGGACCACACTTTAATGAGAAGATTGTCTTATGAACTGCTTCTCCTCCCATTCATGATTGCATGGACCACTTTCCCTCCCAGCTCCAATTATATAACAACCCCGTGGCAATTACAGCAATTGCTTGCGCGGACAAGTAACATCTGAGAAATATTCTGTGTATTTTTAGTGTTCTGCAGCAGTTTGCAGCTGGGAAGAGGGAAGGAGCCAGCACCACTGACTGGCCCGGGCTCAAGATGCCTCCACCAAAGAATCTCTGCTGGAAAAAGCAGCGCCGTAACGACGTCCCATCGCGACTGCTGACCGAGACCTGCGGAGGAGCTTCTACTTGCACTGGGGTCATCTGAGGAACCCAAGCCTGTCCTGGAACAGAGACAGGATTTCCCCCAGAAGGCACCTCCTAACGCCTGGGGTCTCGCAGAGGAAAGCGGCGCGAGGAGCGGGCAGGACCACAGCAGCTAAAGGGTGGATCCGAGGTGCTGAACGCTCTCCCTCCCACTAACTCACGGCAATCTTGGCAGGGATTTCACCCTGACGTGCCCAGGATTTCACAGCACACGCAGCAGAGCGGGAGATGAGTTCATTCCCTGACTTCTGTGCTCTCACTATCTGGAAAGCGCTCCTGTCTCCACTCAGGAAGGGTGGGACATGCTGAAGGCGACACCGTGAGCTGCGCTTAGGGGATCTCACTTAGGCTCTTGTTCAATTTCTAGGTGGCAAGGAAGACTTCTGGGACCGGAGAGGGCAGGAGGGTAAGAAACAAGAGCGCAGCAAGGCCACAACAGGCTACAGAGCAGCATTTTTCATTAAAAGCTATTCAAGTTTTAAGTGGCAGATTACCTTGTTTCCACCAACATTTTTCCTGCTTTTCCATAGGCGTGAAATGCTGGCATAAGAGAAGAGAAAAAAAAAGTTATAGTTAGTCAAAGAAAGGTCCAGAACGTGGCAACACACGAGTTCGACATTAAACAATACCAGTGACAAAGGGCAGTGTGCAGCTGGAACCCACCGGTGGTGTGTTTTGGGGCTGGTTCCCTTGCCCGCCCACTTTCTTTTTCAGACATGCCCTCCGCAAACTG